CAACTGAGCCACCCAGGCGCCCTAGCTCCATGATTCTTATTAGCTCCTTCATGCAATTTTTAATGAATTCTGGGAGTATCCTTGTTGATAAAGACAAAAAAGGGAAGCCACTAATGACATCTCTCCTATTATTCAAAAGCAAAAATATATAGATATATTTCAGATAAAATTTAAGGTATTTTTGAAAAAATTTTTATAAAGTATTTTTTATTTTATTATCTTTTAAGTAAGTTCTATGCCCAACATGGGGCTTTAACTCATGACCTTAAGATCAAGAGTTGCATGCTTTACAGACTGAGGCAGCCAGGCTCCCCTTAAGAAACATTTTGAATTTCTGTTCTTCTGAGTAAATCCATGTTACTGGATGATTTTGCTCTTATTCCAAACCATGGACAATGCGATTTTACTATTTATCTAATGTGAATTATCACTCACAAAAAGTAACTATTTTATCTAACAAAGGGAAAAAAGGCAGGGGTGCCTAAGTGGCTCAGTCAAGTGTCCAACTCTCATGTGCAGCTCAGGTCATGATCTCAGGATCTTAGGATCAAGCCCCAAGTGGGGCTCTCCACTCAGCGAGGAGTCTGCTTGTCTCCCTCTCCCTCTGCCCCTCCCACTCATGTGTTGGCGCATGTGTTGGTCTTTCTCTCTCTCAAATAAATCTTTTTTTTTTTTAAAGATTTTATTTATTCTTATTTTGAGAGAGAGAGAGAGAGCACAAGAGGGGGGAGCAGGAGAGGGAGAAGCAGACTCCCTGCTGAGCAGGGAGCCCGATGTGGGACTCGATCCCAGGACTCCAGGATCATGACCTGAGCCGAAGGCAGTCGCTTAAACAACTGAGCCACCCAGGCGCCCCTCAAATAAATCTTTTTAAAAAAGGAAAAATGTAACTAAGTATAAGTTAGTTTTCGGATGCCTGGATGGCTCAGTTGTTTAAGTATCTGCCTTTGGCTCAGGTCATGATCCCAGGGTCCTGTGATCAAGTCCCGCATTGGGCTCCTTGCTCAGTGGGGAGCCTGCTTCTCCCTCTGCCTGCCACTCCCCCTGCTTGTGCTCTCTAATAAATAAATATTTTTTTTAAAAAGTTAGTTTTCCAGATTTACTCTAGAAAGTAATAACGATAAATTTATTTCATCTACCAAAACACTAAAGCAACTCATATTATCATAAAATTCTCCTATTTGTAAAAATGTAGATTCCAAGTCAATCAAAATACTGTTTAAAATTTCTGGATACTTCTTAGATTAGGTATCAATGTTTATATTAATAAATGTATCGATGTTTATATTAATAAATGAAAAAAAGAAACACAGGTCTTAACGTATCTTAAAAAACCCTTAACAATTACTAAGGCCTTTTTTACAGAGAAGAAATAAAATCAATCAGGTAAATATCAGCAAATGTTAGTTGTAACTTTTTATCATCACATTTTAGAAAAAAAAATACTTTTACTATCACTCTTTCTAGAGGTTGAAATAATAAAAGAAAACCATCTAAATTTTTACTAAAAATTATTTTTAAATTTTTAACGTTAGCTGCATTAGTAACCTGGAAAACTACTACTTACAACACTGCTGTACCTGTAGATTTTGTATGTGTGTGTGTGTGTTAACACAGGCAATACCTAGTCACTCTTTTTTTTTTTTTT